GCCGGGGGGGGGGGGGCGGGGGATTTAAAAGAACCATCACATTATCAGTTGGGTATTAAATTTTTAAAAATGAACTTCAATCACCTGTTTGACATTGTCTGCAAAAATTAACTCCATGTGGGTCACAGACGATAGGTAAAATAATACAGCATCTACAAGAAAAATGTCTTTGTAATGTTAGAGTAGGCAAATATTTCTTAACAGGAAGCACTAATGATTGGAATTCATCCAAATTAAAGACTTTGTTAGTCAAGGAAAATCAGTAAAAGTAAACAAACAAAATTACAGCCTGAGCACATTTTAACAAAACATAAATAACCAAGGATTAGAATTCTGAACTTATAAAGAACTCTCAAAAATCAGTAAGGCAATTATGAGCAAAAGAACAAGCACTTTACAAAAGAGAATAATGAAATGTTCAATAAGGTGAAAAACATTCACTTATTCATCAGAAAAATAAAATCACAGATACTCATTGCACCTGTCAGAGTGATTAAAGTAAAATTGACAAAAAAGTTGACACCTCAGCTAACATGAACTAATGTAAAAAACTGAGTAAACCCATAACAAAATAAGAGCTTGGTTGGGTCATTAAAAAAAGCCTAAGCCCAGATAACTTCATTGGTAAAGTCTACCAAACATTCTGAGACAATCTGACACCAGTTCTACTCAAGCTTGTGGGGCAGATAAGGATAGAAAACTGGCAAATTAAGTTTATGAAGCCAGCATGCACTTGATAGCAGAACTCGCCAGACACAGTATAGACAAGACCCACCCCTCAAGAAACAGACGCAAGAATTCTCAACAAAACTGTCCAGTAGAATCCACCAACATGTTAAAGAGTAACTAGTCGTACATCATAACCAAGTGGGATTCAAAAATGGTTCAGCAGTAGAAAAGCAATAAAATTCATCATCACCTTAAATAAGCAAAGAATCACATGATCATACCAATTTATATAGAAAAGCCATGTGACAAGTTCCAACACCCATTCCTGATTAAAATACTCAACAAAATGGGAGTAGAAGGGAAATTTCCCAGCATATAAAGAGTATATATATAAAACCAAGAGCATTGTTTTCAACAAAGGAGAAACAAACATTTCCTTTACAAAGGATGCCTTTGGTGACCATGTTCAATACTGTTCTGGAAGTCTTAGAGCTATAAAGCAAGAAAAGGAAATGGAAGGCATCCAAAATGCCAAAGAAGTATCCTCTACTTGCAGATGATAAGATCCTATACATAGAACATCCCAAAGACCCAGGGAGAAAAATGTTGGAACTAATTAAAAGATGGACCACAGTGACAGGATACAAGGTCATCATACAAAAATCAGATTCATTTTCTGCTAGTAGAGTTCTGAAAATGTAACCAGGAAAATAATACGATTTATAGTGACAACCTGGAAAAATTAAATAGTAAGGGATAAATATAACCAGAGAAATTTCCTGTACAAAGAAAATTACAGAATTCTACAAGAAACCAAAAGACCTATGTAAATAGAGAAATATACCACATTCGTGGATAGGAAGATTGTACATGGTGAAATTATCAATACTACCCAAAAAAAAACTACTGATATAATACAATTCCAACAGTACCCTATAAAGAGATGGAAAAGCTAATCAGTTTTATTTGGAAAGGAAAGAGACCCTAGATAAGCAAAGGACTACTAAAGAAGAGCAAAGTAGGAGACCTCTCATTTCCCAATCTCAAAAATTACTGCATAGCCACGGTACCAAGTCTGGTCCTGCTACCACAGTCCTATAGGTCAGTGGAAGAGACTGGAGTTAAGTAAACCTATCCACATACAGGCAGCTGATCTTGGATGAAAGGCTGAAAAACATTAATTGGGGAGGGGTTGCCCTCTTTCATAATTGGTATTGGAAAAACTGAATATCCATCTGCAGAAGAATTAAACAATAGCATATATCACACCATATAAAAAAATGAACTTAAGATGGTTCAATATCTAAATGAAAAACCTAGAACTGTAAAGATCATCAATGAAAATATAGGGACAATATGTAGGCAACTGGACATCCCCTTACAGAAGAGTTGTGGAGAGGAGACTAACCAGTCAGGGTGCAGTGTAGCAACAATGAAACATGCAACTTTCCTCTACTTCTTAAATGCTTCCTCCCTACCCTACCCCCACTATCACGATCACATTTCTACCTTACAAATCCGGCTAGACCAGAGGATGTACACTGGTACAGATAGGAAGTGGAAACACAGGGAATCCAGGACAGATGTTCCCTTCAGGATCAGTGGTGACAGTGGCGATACCAGGAAACTGGTAGGATCCCCAAAAGTATGGCCTATAGTCACTTTCCAGGTCTGGAACTGGACTCACCCCATGCTAGCCTAATCAACCATTAAAGCTCAAAAGAGGAGCATCTATCCAAGGACAAACTTTAGAGGGGGAAAAAACAAAACAAAAAAAACTTCAGAGGGGAAAGGAGGAGGAATGGAAACACAGGAAGTACAATAAATGATGTTACTTTAAGGTGATTTCAACTGATAAGTTGAAACAAAATGTATTCACTGAATGTAAAACTGATGATCTGCTTTGTAAACCTTCACCTCATTCACAATAAAAAGAAAGATTGGCAATAGCAAGTAAAAACGAAGAAGTGGAACTAGAATTAGTATACTCCCAATGTAAGTAGACACTAGTGGTACATATACTCCTACCCTATATGGATCTATCAGGGACTCCAAAGAACACACACACACACACAAGATTACTCGTAAAGCTGGAGAAATCTGCATTAGATCTGTGGATTGTATCCCTGGCAAAATGCTAGTTGTGATTTTGTACTATATGTACTATAAATTGTTAATATGAAAAAAAATTGTTACTATGTGTACTATAATTTAAATGTTACAAAGGGAAATCATGAGGGATACAAGAGATTGTTTTGTGTCGTTCAATTGCGTGTGAATCTACAATTTCTCATTGTAATTTTCATTCAAGGATGACAGGACCTGGGATGCATGCAGAGGCAGTGGTATAGAAGAGTATGCACTCACAACACAGAGAAGGACGGTGGGATGCACGGGATTACGTCATGATTTGTGAGTGCTACACAGTCAGGAAGGTGCCCTGGTAGCATGGTGGTGATGTGCTGGGCTGCTGACTGCCCGGTCAGCAGTTTGAAACCACCAGCAGCTCTGCTGAGAAAGATAAGGCTTTCTATTCTCTGAAAGAGTGACGGTCTCGGAAACCCACAAGGACCGTTCTATGGTATTGACTTGATGGCAGTAAGTTTGCTTTGGTCTGGTTAAGACACAGCCAGGAACAGAAGCCAAAGACTCTGACACCCATTCTCTCAAACATATTTACTGAGGACCAGGAACCTGGAATCTAGACCCTGGGGCAATGTTCAACCCAGTCCAGTCCTCTCTCCAATAGGAAAGAGCAAAAATAATTAACCAGAGAAAAGAGCTGTACAAAGAAAACCACAAAAGTCTTCTACAAGGGATAAGAACGCGCCCAAGGGGTCTTTATCAACTCCAGAATCATTGGCTGTGGGCAGGAAGGCGGGGCAGAGACGCTGGGAGGGTTGGAGCATATAAAGAGGGGATAGGATTATGAGACCTAATAACTGGCCCAGTGCACCTGGACTGACAAAGACAGCAAATCTCCTCGGGTCCTCGAGGGAGGAGGCGTGTTAGACCTGAACAAGAGACCAGGACTAAATGTAGCACAAGGACGGCTGGAGTGGATGCGAGGGTGGCTCAGGAGCATGTTCTCTGGGTTGGAGCCTGGAGGCGAGCGGAAAACTGCAACTCCCGGCGTGCACCACGGCGTGCCCCAGCTGGGACTGTCACGTGACGGGTGCTCACGTGTCTCCGCAGCCTGCTCCCGAGAGAAGCGCTGTAGGTAGGTGGTAGAGGGTGGGTGGTAGTGGCTACGGAGCGAGGGAGGGTGGAAGCCGTAGGTTCCCCGGGCCCCTAGACGGCCCCCCTGCCGTCCCCCCAACACACAGCACGGCAGAGCTCGGGGAGTTGGCTGTCAGCCCCACGCTCGCCTTCTGCGCCGGCTCCGAGGAGCCGAAACCCGGCCGGTCTCGCCCAGTTCCTAGGCCGGCGTCCAGCCCTGAAGTCCCTTCCCATTGTAGTTCCCAGAAACCCACCCTTCCTGCTTCAGGTCTGGGAACGGCCCCTGCGTCCCGTGGGCGCCCAGCCACCTGCCAGTGCAGCGCCCCGCTTTAGGGCTGCCGCCCCAGGCTGGACAGCGACGCCCACTGAGGTTGGCGGCTGAGGGGCCTAGTGCCGTGATCGCTCTGGTCAGAGCTTACGGGCTCCGGCTCCCTGTGACCGGCGTCTAACCCTCCTGCGCGGGCCTATTTCCCATCGGATCTGGTTCCGTTCCTAGGTGAAAATCAGAGCCGCTCAGTTCCCCGCTGGCATCATCCTGGAAACCGCTCTGACTCCTCTCTGCTGACGGCGGATCATTTTAGGTAAAAGCCTTGAGGAAGAAGAAATTGGGACCAGGGAGTGACCAAGGAGCATCACATGACAGTTCTTTGGGGAGAAGGAACTCGTGATAGCCAGTCACGTGGCAAGAACAGGTAAACTGAGGACTTGGCAGCTGAGCCATGAAGCGGGGGCGGTGGGGTGTGAAAAACCAATGCAGTCTTTAAGGCGTGGGGACCCCGCGGAACCCTTGCCTTAGTTCTTTTGAGGGGGCTTCAAAAAGTTCGTAGGAAAATGGCAAAGACATACAGTGGGATTTTTCTGGGAACTTTTTGAAGTGCGTGAACTTGTGTGTGGGTGATGGCAGAGGCTGGGCATATGGCACAGGCCTGGGGGAGAGTCAAGAGGCTGCACTAAGCCAGGCGAGTCACCCTACCACTCTAGGCCTCTGTGACTTAAGGTGAGGCTGGTGGAGGAAGGGACCCGTGATAACAGCAGCAGCAAACCTGCAGGATTCCCTGCCGTCACCTCCACCACCCACAGCCTTCACCTCCATCGGGCTGCTTTTTTTTTTTTTTGCTAAGTGGCAGGCTGGCTAACAGCAGATTGCATAAGAGGAGGCCCAGTGGCATCAGACTGACCTTTCTAATTGAGAGACAGCCAAGGGGTGTTCCCTGTCCAGCTGTGCCCTTTGATTTCAAGCTTGATGAGAGATGTCTGAGAGCGCCCTTTTACCTGCCATGGGTGCGGGGTGCCCAGCTTTGTGCAGCCATCATCAGGAGGGACTGTGAAGAGGAGCCGACTACCCAAAGACCTGGGTTGCCCTTCTAAACCCCTAGTGGGCCGAGGGCTTCAGGAGGACTGCTTGGCTGTGGTGAGTAGTAGGGACCGGGACGGTCATTACTGCTGAATCTTCACCTCGTGGACTAAACCAGGCAGGGACAAGTAGTGTGTGAACTGCAACATGTTGCCTGGATAGCCCAGGTTCCAGATTCAGAAAGGAGAAGACTGGGAGCTGGCAGCGTTGGCAGGCGGTGTCACTGGCCTGTGTGGTAGTTGCCCAACAGAAGCTCTGGGGAAGGGCATTCCTGACTCCTCACTGACTGCCGCCAGCCAGCAGCAGCCTCTGGGAAAGGCCCTTTCCTCCCTGGCTCCGCTCGGGCCCTGCCCTTTTAACCTGCCCTCCATGTTGCTCTTCGTCCCATTAGCGAGCCGCCCTAGTGCCTTTGTGCCCGTTGTTGCCTGGCCCCTGGCTCCAAGCTTTGGTTGGGGTCTGGAGTCTGCTCCCTGCTGACTGGAGCCTGATGAGAGGGAGAAGCCTGGAAAGAGGGGTTTGCAAACGTAACTGGAGCCATGGCCCTTTAGGGTCTGCCAAACCCTTACGAGGCCTGATGTGCTGCTCGCCGTAATCTGCAAGAGAAGTGCTGTGGCTATCGCCAGATTCCAGGAAAGGAAAGGGGGCCCAGAAAGGTGACATGGCTTCCCTGAGGTCACACAGCTCCACACAAGTGGAGACTACCCAGTCTGCTCCGGGCTGCTCTTGTTCCGGGCTTCCCTGTCTCTGCAGACTCAACCTTGAGAGAACTGAGGCTCTGAGCATGTCCAGGTTCTGGGAAAAGGAAGCAGCGTCCCATTTTTCAAGGAGGAAGACTTTTCACCAAGGGAGAGAAGGGAAGATCAGTCACGTGACTGATGCAAGCCGGTTGCTGAGCTCAGCGTTCCAAAGCCCCACCTCTGCCTTATTGGAGGCAGATGCAGAGGGATATCCTAGGGTCAGATAGGTCTAGATATGAATCCCAGTTCCACCAGCTGGCCCAGGGTAGAGAGCTGCACCTCTCTGGGACTCAGTTTCTACCTTGGCATGACGGTGTCCGCCATAGCACCTTTCAGGGCTATTGTGAGGGTTGAATGAGAGAAAGCAGTCCATCACTGTCCGCAGTGGTCACAGCTGCTAATAACAGCAGGTTCGGCCATGGAGCCCTGCAGTGTAGTCCAGGAGAGCAGGCCGGGTGCCTGCTAGCCCCTGAGGGAGCCTGGGGAGCAGCACCAGACCCCAGGCAGCTCTGCACAGTGGGTGGCCCAGGAAGTGGGACCCAGAAGGGTGGCTGGCAGACAGACAGGAAGCATTCCATGCACAGGATTGATAACACACTCTTTCTTCCCCCAGAACCTAGGTGGGACCCGTCTGTGGGAAGAGGTTGCCTTCATCCTAGTCAATGCCTGCCTGGGAGCAGGGCTGCTCACCTTCCCAATGGGAGAGGAGTGAGGGTTAGCCCAAAAGCCACACAGAAAGCAGAGTCTGGGGCAGCGGGGGCATGCTGGGCTGGAATGATTCTTCGTGCCAATTGCTCTTGGGACCCTGTGGTATAAGAGAGGACTGGGATGCCAGGCAGATCGGGATTGGAATCTGGCTCAACAAGTATGACAAGAGGTCAGTGATTTGACCTCTTAAACCCTGTGACCAGCAGGCATCTTGGGGAGTAAGGGAGATAAGACCCATCTAGGACACACCTCATCTCTCCCTCTGTCTCTCCCTCTTGCCGACCTGGCTGCTGTTCCTCTGTATGTACCTGTCTCACTTACCTGACGACCTGGGAGCCTGGAAGCAGGATTTTCTGCTCCTCCGTTTTCATATCAGCCTCGCCACCCAGTGGCACCATTGTGTTCTGGACAAAGGCCCTCCTGGGCTTGATTCCCAGCTGTGTGGGTTTCCCATCTCAGGGTGACAGTTGTGCTTCCTCTGTCCTTGCAGGTTGAGAAGAAGCAAAGCCCCAGCCCTTCGAGGGAGGCACGTGATCAGGCTGGTCCTGGTCTCCAGCGGAGCTGCCCGGAGCATGTGGTCGTGAGGCAGGACCCGCCTCCCTGTAGCAGAGGGCTCTTGGCACCATGGCCCACGCCAGCATCAACAGTGACCCTGGCGAGTGGGGCTGGAGCACAGATGCCGGGGAGCGGGCCCGCCTGCTGCAGAGTCCCTGTGTGGACACAGCCCCCAAGGGTGACGGGGAGGCCTCTTCTGATGGCCCCCATAGAGGCACCACTTCCACACTTGGGGCGATCTTCATCGTAGTCAACGCCTGCCTGGGGGCCGGGCTACTGAACTTCCCAGCCGCCTTCAGCACTGCCGGGGGTGTGGCAGCTGGCATTGCACTACAGATGGTAAGGGGGCTTTCATGGAGAGCAAGGGTGCTGTTGCAGTCACACGCACACACACATCAACTACCCCCACCCCAAACCAGCACACTTTCCTTTGAGCCCAGGGGAGGCTTTAAGAGCCTTCCTAATCATCAGGGCAGCTGGAACCGTACCTGCATATTTAATTCTTTCAGGCGAATTTGTAGTTCTATCAGATATGGGCCCTGGGCAGGCGCCAAGATGGCAATGTGACTTACGCAATGGGTGGCTGACTAAAAGCTAGGGCCCTGGTGGTTGAGAATCACATACTGAAGTGTTTTGCCGAGGAAGTCAGGAGAAGCTGGTGTTTGCTTCAAAAGAATCCAGGTAGATACCCCCCAACCCAGGGTAGACACTGCCCGGCTGCAGCCCAGGCCTCCAGGCAGGCCACCAGGTAGGAAGCTGGTGTTTGCTTCAAAAGAATCCAGGGCAGAGGAAACAAGTGAAACCAAACTGGATGAGGGTTGTTGAGTTTTACGCTTAGTTGTGAGTTGATAGGGACCCAGGATACTGTGTGTGTGTGTGTGTGTGTGTAAAGCACTTCACAAAACTGGGAATCCCAGCCAGCGGCCTCCAGCAGTGCATAAAAAGTGCCCTGTGAAATGAGACGCATTGGTCAAGCCCACTTGGGAGGCTGGCCAGGAGATGCTGGCCAAGCCCAGGACGCCCCGGCCACTGGGCCTTCCAACTGGGCCCTCTTGTTCCCTGCCCTCGCCCACAGGCCATGCTGGTCTTCATCATTAGCGGCCTGGTCATCCTGGCCTACTGCTCCCAGGCCAGCAACGAGGGGACGTACCAGGAGGTGGTGTGGGCCGTGTGTGGCAAGCTGACGGGGGTGCTGTGCGAGGTGGCCATCGCCGTGTACACCTTCGGCACCTGCATCGCCTTCCTCATCATCATCGGGGACCAGCAGGACAAGAGTGAGCTTCCCCTCAGGGCCCCTCTCCCCCGGGGGGGTTGTGGGATGAAGGCAAGGCAGGGCAGGGGCGGGGTGCTCAGAAGGAAGGTAAGCACAGGTGTACTGGTGCTGACCTACCCACATCTATAGTCAGCCTTGCCACACGTTTTCCGTCACATCAGAAACACCCAAAACTGCTCACTGCGCATTAGTAAGTCAGCCAGTATTGTCCTTGCTTCCCGGGCATGCCATCCCTGTCAGATGGTGCATTTGAAAAGATGATTTTGTTCTGTGACAAGGTGCCTTGATGGCGATCTCGGGTAAGCGTCGGACAGCTGACCACATGGTTGGAGGTTCAAACCCACCAGCCACTCCACAGGAGACCTTTTTTCCCAGCCTCCGAGATCCTCTGTAGGGGCCCGGTGAGTCCAAATGGACTTGACCACAGTGCTCCCGGTGGTTTGAAAGGTGTTGTGGGGTTGGGAAAAAGAGATGCCAGCTATCTATTCCTAGACATAGAATCTTTGATGTGATTTTTTTTAAATGCGAAATTGTTCACTCCAGATGGGTGGGTAAGCACAAGCAGGCTCATGCTTGCCTTGCTTACTGGACAATAGGAACTTGGGCTAAACACCTGCCTGAGGCCCCTTGCATGACGCCCCTCTTTTTTCCTGAGCAGTTATAGCTGTGATGGCGAAGGAGCCCGAGGGGGCTGGCAGTGGCCCCTGGTACACCGACCGGAAGTTCACCATCAGCCTCACCGCCTTCCTCTTCATCCTGCCACTCTCCATCCCCAGGGAGATCGGGTTCCAGAAATATGCCAGGTGTGTCTGACGGCCAGCTGCCTTCCTCCCTGCCCAAAATCCCAGCTTCTTAGCCCCTGGCAGGAATCTGATCACAGGCGGCTGGATACCTCACCCGGGGGAGCAAGAGAGGTCTAGGCAGGCCGGACCAGGTGTGCAGGGTTTGGGGAAGGACTTCCTCTCCCGTCAGCAGCCAGGGGGACAGTAGGCCTTGTGGCCGCGAGGTACCGGTTTTCACTGCGTCCTTGTGAAGAGAGGCCTGGGCCCCGGCCGGGCAGTGTCTGCCCTGGGAGGACAGCATCGCTTCCATTTTCCTTTCCTTCTTCTCTGCGAGCACGGTCTGTGAACGTTGGCAGGGAGGACACGAAGAGTCCTGAGCACACCTGCTGGCCTCTGCGTTCGGAAAACAGCTGTCAGAGAACCAAACTCCCGGCAAACCCGATGTGATGTGTCGAGCAGAGCGGTTGGCTGCGTTGTGTTTGTAAGCCTCTGTCTGATGAGAGCTTACACTGCAAATGAAGTTCTCTTTCTAGTCGGTTCTGTGCACGTGGTTCCGTGACGTGGGCTGCGTTTTTCACTGTCAGCATTCTCAGTCTTTCCACGCTGGTCCCATCCATTCATCACCGTTGAGGTTCACAAGTTGGTTGATGGGTTGTTGGTTTTTTTCCTTAACAACTCACAGGTGATACTGTTTTTCATGATCCAGTCTGTTACTGAGCTAAAAGGGAACCTCTAAAAGGGAGTGGTTTCAGTGTACATGGCATCTCAGGGCAATAGTCTCAGGGGTTCCCCCAGTCTCACCTGGTCCAGGAAGTCTGGGGTTTTCAGGAAGCTGCATTGGTCTCGGTTGTCTCTCTGGTCAGAATGGTTGGCACCGTTAGTTCTTTTGGTCTCAGGGTAGATGAGGCTGTGGTTCACGTAGATGATTATTAGACCTGTCAACTCATTTCCTCTTTGGTTTGCCTCTTTCTCTTCTGTCCTCCATGGAGTTTTCCATGGAAGAGCTTTGGGAAGTAGATCGGAGTTTTGATCACTTGGGATTGTCACTTGGCAGCATCTTCCATGCAGCCTGGCATAAAGGGAGAGAGGACTGACTTTCTGGCTCAGTCTCTGAAAGATTCCAGACCCCTCTGCCTCTGTCTGGGCTGCTTCCCATCCTCAGCTATCTCAAAGATATCCTTTAATGCTGACTGCCCAGGATTTGGTCCCAGCAACCCCTAGTCCTCAGAGGCCAGGCTCCCAAGGATGCCCCATTCACAGCCCTCGCCAAGTCTGGCTGCTCTGGCTGGAGCTGAGCCAGCTCCTCTCCCTGTGGCCAGAGATGCCGGCCTGGTCACCTCCTGCCTGTCCAGCTTCCCCCTACTGGTGGCAGGTTTCTCCAAAACTGACTTCTCAGGTGTTTGCTTGGAATCGTCTCTCAGCAGTGCAGTAGACACTTGTGTTCACTTGCACTGTGTGTGGTTGGCCCTGGGGATGTGACCGGACAAGGGAGGGGTCTGGACAAGGGTGCTCAGTCTCTTCTTCCTGGCAGCTTCCTCAGTGTCGTGGGCACCTGGTACGTCACTGCCATTATCATCATCAAGTACTTCTGGCCAGATAGAGACATGACTCCTGGAGACATGCTGACCAGGTGAGAGACCCCAGGATACATTTGTAGTAGAATCCAGCCACTTAGACCCGGGAGGTGCTGATTCAGGGGTCAGAAAGCAGCCCAAGTGCTCTTCCAAGGCGTTGGTGGTCAGGGTTTGACCGACTGCCCACTGCAGGAAGGAGCTTTCTGCCCGATGGGGCAAGAGAGACCGGGACAGGGAGAGATGTGGTCACCAGCCCACACCAATGTGGTGACAGCCAGGGTATTCTCAAGCATTTCTGTTAGCCTCGCCTCCCATTTCTACACACAGATGAATGTGTGAGGGCGGGCAGATGGGAAAGCTAGAGCCTTGATCCGGGAAGCAGGAATTCTGGGTTAGGGTGTACTGGCCTTTGATATGGAGATGTCTCCATTCCCAGACAAGCACAAATCGAGTGTGGAGATGTTGGTGGGGGTTGTGGCCCTGAGAGGAGGAGTAGGGGCCCGGGGCTGCCCAAGCCAGCAGCCCCCTGTGTGTGTGTGTGTGTGTGTGTCTGCAGGCCGGCTTCCTGGGCGGCTGTGTTCAATGCCATGCCCACCATCTGCTTCGGATTTCAGGTACCAGTTAAGAGTTTCAAACCCCCCCCCCCTCCCTGCACCCTCTTAGCCCACCCCAAGAGGGATCCCTGCGAAGAAGGGTGGAGCAGGGGCCCTAGGACTTGGCCCTTGGCCCTGGGCTCTTTGTCCCCAGGGTGCCTCCCTCTGGAAGTGGGTGAGGTGGTTTCCCTGCTGTGACCACCCCTTCCCCCTGACAGTGCCACGTGAGTAGTGTGCCCGTCTTCAACAGCATGCAGCGGCCCACGGTGAAGACCTGGGGCGCAGTGGTGACAGCCGCCATGGTCATAGCCCTTGCTGTCTACATGGGCACAGGTGAGTACCCCAGGGGGCCAGGCTTGGCATGCTCCCCCTTGCCCTTGAACCCCCACAGCTGTGATGTGGCTCTCCTGGGCACACCCCAGCGCACCAGACCCAGAGGCAGGAGCTTGAACTGACTGGAGGCGAGAGTGGCTCGCTGAGCCTCACTGAGCCGCTCACGGCACTGGTGGCCCAGGGCCGGTGAAACCTCACAGGGCCTGCCCTCGAGGGGGTTAGGCTTAAAGTAAAGCACCAGGACTCGGTGAGGCAGTCCGGGGCACCACGAGGCCGCGATGTAAGTGACGGAGTGAGGACCCAGGCAGGAGGAGGAGGCCCAGGTTCTGAGAGGAACCAGACTGAGAGGAACCAGAGCGGCGGGGGGAGGGCCCGGATCCTTGAGGGCTTGTCGGGAGCCAGGGAGCAAGGAGGGAAATGGAGGTGGCCCTGGCTGCCTGCGTGTGCAGAAAGGTCCGGATGAGGGAGCAGGACGAGGGACCAGGAAGGGGCTGCTCGGGAGACGGAGACCCGCGTGGCTGCTGGGGCACACAGCCTGGTGGTCAGTGCAGAGGCCCCAAAGCAGCGACGCGCTGAGCAAGTTCAGGAGTAGAAAGATGGCGGTGTGGTCAGTCACCTGGCGCCTCTCCAGAGCCGCCCCCACACCCTCCCTGGCTGAGGTTGCGCTGAGCAGTGGACGGGCTGCCCTGGCCCCCTGCCCTCTGCCCACAGGCATCTGTGGCTTCCTGACCTTTGGAGCTGCCGTGGACCCCGATGTGCTCCTGTCCTATCCCTCAGAGGACGTGGCGGTGACTGTTGCCCGAGCCTTCATCATCCTCAGCGTGCTCACCTCCTACCCCATCCTGCACTTCTGTGGGCGGTGAGACAGCCCCCCTCCCCAAAGTGCCCCCTACCCCTCACCAGGGCCCCTCAGGTCTCTCTGAGCCCACAGGAAAGTCTGACCATACCCCGGACGGCTCCCCAAGATCCTGGGCCCAAGGCAGCCTTAGTCCCAGGGTCCCCAGAATGTCCTGTGGGTCCTGTAAGATCCAGAGTCTGTGACGTGGACACCAGCCTCTGGGTACCCTGGCGCTCCCTTCTAGGGAGAACAGTAGTGTGCGTACGTGGTAGGGCGTCCGGCAGCCCTCAGGAGAGCTGTCAGCATCTTAGCTGCTGAGTGGCCCACTGTGTGCCCCCCTGAGCCCCGCTCTCTGGGCAGGGCTGTGGCCGAGGGGCTGTGGCTGCGCTATCAGGGGATGCCGGTGGAGGAGGACGTGGGGCGCGAGCGGCGACGGCGCGTGCTGCAGACGCTGGCCTGGTTCCTGCTCACCTTGCTGCTGGCCCTCTTCATCCCTGATATCGGCAAGGTCATCTCGGTCATTGGAGGCCTGGCCGCCTGCTTCATCTTCATCTTCCCAGGTATGGGCCCCAGGCCCCCGCCCCCCATCATCCCCCACCCAGCATGCGCTCCCGTGAAGAAGGAGCAGTGGGCACCCCCATTCCACCGATGAAGAGAACGAGGTTCAGACAGGTTTGCAGGCTTGCCCAGAGGTTAACATCCACAGCCCGTCAGTCACAGAACAAGGTTGTATGGGTCCGTCCACTTCATCCAGGTGCCCGCTCGCTGCTCCCTGATGGTCACTCTACGGTGCTGGCTCGTTCATCTCACTACACCCCGGAGCCAGTAGGGCCTGGGGACAGCCCTTGACAGAAGTTGGGAGAGCTAGTTCCAGACAGGCTTGTCCCCAGATGCTTGGAAATTGGGATTTTGCTCAGGACTGCAGGCTCCTGTCACCTAGCCAGGCGCTCCCTTGCTACCCAGCTCATTCTGGCTACAAAGCCACCTTGAAAGCCCCTGCCACTTGTTCGGGATCCAGGGGCCACACCTGCTAACACGTGTACTGGGCAAGGCCCTGGAGCTGCCCTGATAGCTGTCCCAGTAGCTCCAAGTTTTGCTGTATCTGAAGCATGCTTGCCAAGTGCCAGTCACTCCCTTGAGGGGGGCAGAGCAATGCCAGGCTCCAGCCGGGTGTAGATGGGCAGCAGAGGTCATGAGCCATCTGGAAGAATAAGCACAGACCTCCCCCCTTCCAGTTCCTCCGCAGGGACAGCCAGGTGTGAGGTGAGGAGCCTGCCTGAGCACCCAGGCCCCCTTCTCTTACAGGACTGTGCCTCATCCAAGCCAAACTCTCTGAGATGGAGGAAGTCAAGCCAGCCAGGTAAAATGGGAAGGGGCGCGCGGGGCCTTAAAATTGGTAGGAAACCTATGTACTTTTAAAAATTTGGTTTAAATATTATGTAGTGGTTACATGTTGGGATGCAACCCGCATGGTCAGCAGTTCAAAACCACCAGCAGCTCAATGGGAGAAAGACTGGACTTTCTACTCCCATAAACGGTTACAGTCTCAGAAGCCCATAGGGGGGTCACTGTGATGAGTCAGCAGTGGAGGGTTTTTTTGCCTCTCTCTCTCTCTATATGTGTGTGTGTGTGTGTGTATACGTATGTATGTGTGTGTATATATTTAAATAGTAGTATATACTAGTTGTAGCCATTCAAATCCTGCAGAAGGACTTCAGAGAAAAAGTAAAAAGCTGTTTTCACTGCAGCCTTACCGCCCAGACATCTCTCCTCTAAAGACTGTTACCAGTCGGACCTAGCTTCCTGAGCACAGCTTCCCAGACCAGTTTGGCCTACCTGCCTTTGCAGAAAAGGAATTACTCCACGCCCCCTGGCAAATGAAAACTTCACCCCATGTTGACGTTAGGAGCGTTCGAGCCCCGTGCACAACAGAACACAGCATCACCCATCCTGCTCCCTGCTCACCGTCCTTCCTGTGCTGAGCCCAGTGCTGCAGTCACTGTCAGTCCGTCTCGTCGTCGAGAGCCTGCCTCTGTTTCCCTGTCCCTCCGCTGTAGCGAGCATGACATCCTTCTCCAGGGACTGGTCTCTCCTGACACCGTGTCCAAAGTACACGAGACTAAGTCTCATCAACCTTGCCGCTAAGGGGCATTCTGGCGTACTTCTTCCAGGACAGAGGTGTTTGCTCTTTTAGCAGTATTCCTCACCAGCACCACGTCGCTTCTTCCTCAGTCTTCCTTATTCAGGGTCCAACTTTCCCGAGCATTGGAGGTGATATAAAGTGTAGGTATCTGAATTGTTCTAATGCCCCCAAGGGGGCGGCATTGCTCACTTGAGGAAACGCTGTTCTAGACCTTTTTTTTTTTTAATCATTTTATTGAGGGCTCATACAACTCTTATCACAATCCATACATACAACAGTTGTGTAAAGCACATCTGCACATTCGTTGCCCTCATCATTCCCAAAACATATGCTCTCCACTTAAGCTGCCAGTAGACCTTTTTTTTGGTAAACTTGTGATTTGAGTAGAAGTTTTTCCTTCAACAGTTGGTGCACTTTTTGTTTCCTGGCATTGATTGGAATCCCTGCCTCCCCCTGGGCTTCTCAGTTTCCTTTCCCCCAGCTCCCTCATGCCTTCCTGCCCCCTTGGGGTCTCCCTGGCTGGTAGCTCTAAGCAGTGTGGTATCCCCTTCCCAATCCATCATGTGGCTGGAAGTGGAACCTTGGTGACCGACCACCAGTCCCCGCTCTGGCCAGTAAGCCTGGTTTTTTCTGTTTTCATTGTTTGGGTCCCCGTGTTCCCTCCACTCTCTCTCGAGGACGTTCTAATGGCACCGCTTCCAGAGTAGTCAGCCCCGGGAGCCAGGGGCCTTCTCGTTCTTCTGCTCCGGGCCGTGGAGACCACTGTGTGCACCCAGCTCTGAATAGGCACACGCAAGCGGCATCTGTCTGGTTTGCCCGCCCTGCCTGGCGTGGTCTTCCCAAGCTCAAACCACGAGTGCTTTGGAGAGGGTTGTGTGCTGGACAAGTGGAACCACTTCCCTCTGGTCTGCAATCATCTGTTGTAGAGATGTGCCCTGCTGTGACTGCCCCTACTCGGGGAGGAATTCCTCAAAGGCAGTGACAGCGCCAACCCTGCCCCTCTCGCCAGGCCTCTAGCAAGGTCGCACTTGCCCCAGTCCTGGCAGCCAGGCTTGACACCTGCGGGCACTGCCTCCAACAGCCTTTCTGCATCTCCTTAATCTCCTGGGGAGGAAGCCTTGCTTTGTTTTCATACGCACGTTCCCCGAATAGTAAAGCGAGAAGGTGAATAGGTCGCACACTTGGTTTAATGTGTGTGTGTGTATAGATGTGTGTATATATATATATATATAGATGTTTATAGATGTGTGTGTGTATATATATATATGAGTAATAATTGTTTGATGTAGAAAACTTAGTGTCACAAAGAAAATGAAAATCCCCTTTCCCATACTGAGGGAGCCCTGCAGAAGGCGTAGTGGTCACGCCTTGGGCAGCTGACCACAAGGTGAGCAGTTCCAAACCGCCAGCCACTCCTCAGGAGAAAGATGAGGCTTCTACTCCCGTAAAGGGCTGCCGCCTCAGAAACCAGAGGGGCCTTTCTGCCCTGCCGTCCAGGGTCTCTGGAAGTTGGAACTCCTTGACGGCAACAACTAGTCCCCATTGCCGGGTTACAACCGTGTTGCAGTTTTCAGTGAATAGATTTGCAGACGTGTGCTGCCTTTTTTTTTTTTTTTGATGGAATGGATCTCACTCTGTGATGTGACCTATTTTTTCTAGAACATCTTCCATCAGGAAACCTTCCTTCTAATTCCTGTCCTACTCTCGGTATCCTGTGACCCGTCAGTCCCCTCAGGTCTTAGTCTCCTTGCCTGGGGAGGACTGTGGGTAATACAGGGAGTCCCTGGGTGGCACGATCAGTTAAGTGCTCACTGCCAGTCAAAAGGCGGACACTTTGAACGCACCCAGAAGTGCCTCCGCAGACCAGCCTGACCGCAGAGCAGGTGGAAAAGCTATATTTGAATCCAAGGCTCTTGGGAAGGTGGAAAGTGCTTAACAAGAAGGAGAGATGTCATTTGGGGGATTAACTGATACCTTGGGCCCTGCAGCATACTGGGGTGGGATGACTGACCAGGACCCTCTCGCCTTCTGCCCCACAGCTGGTGGGCGCTGGTCATTTACGGAGTCCTCTTGGTCACGCTGGGAGCTTTCATCTTTGGCCAGACCACAGCCAATGCCATCTTTGTGGATCTCGGAGCCTAACCACCGCCTCCCAAGAATCGAACCTTTGCCGTTGGACCCAGGCGCCCATAGTCTGGCGTCATCCCCCTGGACTGGGGGGTCGGCCTCTGGACCCTCTCTTCCAGGGACAGTTCTAGGTGACATCAAGGCCCACAACTCTGGACAACTCAAAGCCACCCCCCACCCCCCAGCCCTGGCAGTGCCATGGGTGGTGGGAGGAGGTCTGATGGCCCAGAAGAAGCTGCCCCTTCCCCAACTTCTCCATACCTGGAATCCATGGGTGACAAAGACCCACGGGCCTTAGAACAAAGGACCCAGGCCAACGTCCCTCTGGAGAAAGAGAGTCGGGACAGGGGCCACTTGTCCTCCACAGAGCACACCTTGCCCCGAGGGCCACTCCTCACCCCTCGGCTCGGCACCCACGGGCCCTTCCACTCCCTGCTGGCCCACTGTGGCCCTGGTACTCATCTTTCCCATGGCTCACTCCACCTTCCAGACCCATCCTGTCTGTCCCAAAACCTAATGGTCCGGGCAAGCCTCCCCCTCCACCTCCAGGACATGACCATGTCTAATGTTTACAAACGGTACCAGCCCGGCTCTGCTGGCTCCTCGGGCTCCACATGAGCCCCTCGCTAGAGGCTCTCAGGGTGAGGGCGGAGGCTGGCAGCCTTCCCGTCCCTTACCCACTCTAGAAGCTCAGCGCTGCATACACAGGCTAAGCTGGCTACGGTCAAGGTGAGCCTCTGACCACTCAGTGATCACTCCTCTCCTCCAACCAGGGCCAGCCCCAGCAAGAGTGGCCCAGAGAGAAAGCAGCAGCTGTCACAGTGGTCAGCAGTTACGTCTTCTCACTGCCGCCTGGACAATTCCTTCCAACCTGGTCTTGTCTGGCTCACCCCCAGAGCCCGCCCCCATGTCACTTGTGTCTCTGTATAGCCCCGCCTCCTGCTGAAAGGTGGTGGAGGTGGATTGCAAACCCTTGCACCAGCTACTTCACTATGTGGCCACTTGGCCTGACCTCTGGCCACAATAAGGTCATTCTTCATAGTTGCCCCAGTTGGGATAAAGAGAGACTGGTCTCACCATCCACATTCCCATCCTGAGCTGCCTCAGCCCAGCCTCGGTCTGGGCCCTGAGTCTAGCTTCCTCCCATGGAGCACCCAGCATTCCTTAGTGTCTTTCCCACAAGGACTACTGCTGGTGAGGCAGGCAGCCCTCCGTAGCCCACCACTCGGAGCAGTCTCCTCCAAGAAGTGGAATTGGTTGGAGGTCGGCTAGGCCTCTGCCTCATCCACCAACAAGGTCGCCCACCTTGTATTATCCCGACCCCTCGGTGCCTGCCCTGGGCCAGCCCCAGTCCCTAACCGGGTTAGGCTGCACAGCTACCCGAAGCCGTATTATGCGGGGGTGCAGAAGTGGGGAGGGCAAAGGGCAGCAGGAAGATAAGGGGAGTCGTTGTTGCCAGGAGCTGCATCTTTGGGGAAAAGGAGCTGGCATCTCCTAACCTCAGGAACCCCTCAGCCTTCCTCCCTGGCAGGGTATTTTACTGGGTCTTGTTGTTCAATGTATGCGCAGCTTGGAGAAGTGCTGGTCATTAATAAAAACAAGCCTGGACTGCAGAGCTTCAGGGCCTGTGTCTGGTCCTGCTGGAGACAGAGTCTGGGTTGCTGATAGGAGGGAGGGGCTGGGCAGGTGGCATACAGCTGTTGTGTCCCACCCGAGGTTTCGGGAATGGGGGCCACCACACTCCGTCTACCACGTCCAGGCCGGCAGTGGGTCTGGACCCTCTCCCATCCCTTTCCCACCATCCCAGCTCTGACTGAGAGTTTGGCTCAGGCCTGGCTTTCACAGCCCTGCAGGGCCCTGGGCTGCATGACCTCCGGGCCACAAAGCTTGGGGTGAGCCTCAAACTCAAGAGCAGCTGTCTCTCAGAGGCCCAGCTGTGGAGCCAGTCCCTACATGCAAGCTCACAGCCCACACCTGCCCTGCTCCCTAGTGAGTGGGGCCAGCCGATGCCAGCCAAGCAGGTGTCACTCGAGTGTATGTGTCAAATGTGCCAGAGAGAAGCACAAAACCAAGAGGCCTGGAACTCATCTGAGGGAGTCCAGGAGGGCTTCCTGGAGGAGGTGACACTCAAACTAGCTCCTAAATCATGAGCAGGAAATCTGTGAAGAGAGGCAGGAAGGCAATTGCCAGCAGTGGGAACTGCATTGCAGAGGCCAGGGGGTCAGGACTGAAATGTGGCCATGTCCCTGGAGGTCACCTGGGGGTGGGGCAGCCGCAGGAGTGAGACCTGCTGTGGGAATCAGGGTCAGTTCTCTTTGAACCTCATTTCCCTCAACTTAACGGGGGCACTGATACCTGCTTTGTGGGTAAAGGGTGTGGTGTGTGTGAAGTGCCTGGGGAGACATCTAGGGGCTGAAGGATGGCGTCCCTTGAGGGGAGCGCCAAAGAGCAGTCCTTGTCCCGCATGGGCATTCCCATCACCCCCTGTGAGAGACCATTCACCAATCTGAAAGTGGTTGCTATGCCTGCAGAGAGCAGAATCTTGTGAGGCACTTTTCCTTGCCCGGGAATGGGAGGGTGCGGCTGCAATTCCTTGGTTTGGTCAGAAGAGGTCACTCTTGCATAATTTCTGTCTATGACGAGGTGTCTGCAGCCTCTGAGGAGGCAGGGCTCCCAGTGAAGGCTGTTTGGTTCAGCTAAATAATGAGGCTTCTACCCTGGGGCAGGGCCAAGCGTGAGGTCCATCTCCAGGGACTGTCTACACCTCAGAACATTAGGCGGTATGTGCGGTAGAGTCCACCCGCCCTCCCTTCTAAGGCACACTCTGGCTGGCCTTCCTCCCAGACAGACCTGGCCTGTGTCCGTCCGTTAGTATGATACCAGTTTGGTGTGTTTCAGTGGGTGTGGGGGAAGGGCCAGGGGCTTCTGGAATCAGGAAGAAGGCAGCCAACCCATCCTCCAATCACTTCATCTTTTCTGGGGGGACCGAGATCCAAGAATTACCCACTTGATCATTTTGGCACTGAACCCAAGATTGACGATGATTCAGGAAAAGCTCCATGGAGAAGCTTGGTGAAGTAGAGGCCCAGCAAAAAGGAAGATTACCTTCAATAAGATGGATTAGCGCAATGGCTGCGACCACGGGCTCAAACAAGAATGTGAGACTGGTGCAGGAACACGCAGTGCTGCTTTCTGTTGGACATAGTGTCCCCATGAGTCAGAAGGGACTCAGGGCTCTTCACGACAGCCTAACAGATAAATCTCTAGGTCCCATGGCTTACCACAAGAAGCATTTCGATGTTATTCAGTCAGAGTGGAGCAGCCTTAATCTGCATCCATGCATTCTGAACTCCCACTGTCATCCATTTGTGGTCGGTAGGTACTGATTCCATCTCGGCAACCCGTGCACAGCAGAACAAACACCGCATTGCGTGGTCCTCTGCCAGCCTCACAATTGTTCTTAGGTTTGTGCCCCTGGTTGCAGCCACTCCATCTCGTCAAAGGCCTTCCACTTTACCAAACAGGATGCCCTTCTCTAGGGAATAGTCTCCCCCTGATCACGTGTGCAAAGTACATGACACAAAATCTCACCATCCGTGCCTCTACAGACCATTCTGGCTGTCCTTCCAAGACAGATTTGTTCTTTTGGCAGTCCCTGGCACTTTGAGTCTTATTCACCACACCATAGTTCAAATTCCGTGTGCAACACTCCCATGCAGAGGAGGCAATTAAAATGACCAAGGCTTGGGTCAGACCTTAGTCCTCCAAGCAGCATCCCTGATTTTCAACACTTTAAAGAAGTCTTGTGCAGCAGAGTTACCTAATAAAGCACCTCATCTGATCGCTGGCTGCTGCTGAAGAGAAGACAGTGCATAAATGAAGAAAGGGGTGTTTTTGGAAAAGGAAAAAAGTAAGGGTGAGCACCTGAAAGCATGATAGAAAAATCAAAAAGTCAAGAGTGGAAAGTTAAAGTAGCTGACTTCCAGGAAGATGGCAACTGAGTAACACATGCCAGAGGGACTCCACAGAAATCAGCCCAGGAGAGTTACTAAGAGGGAAATTCAACACTGCTGGATTGCAGGAGGAGCATCATAAAGATAAGTAGGCACAGATCCACAAGGTTTTGAGGGGCTGGGGACTTTTGGCTTACCACAGTTGATGCCGACTAGGCCTTGACCTTAGCCCCACCACTGTCTCAGCCAGAGCCAGGACCATTTGGAGCCGGTGCAGGGGTTTAATCTCAACACAGCCACAGCTTGCCACCACCTAGGGCAGGGATTAAGCCCTTGCAGCCAGCCACCCCCCCCAGCAGGGATCAGTGCTCAGCTATATTGTTACTTTTGTTTCCCTCTCCTCTCTACCCACCCCCAGTCCCAGCAGGCTTAGTTTTTAATTTTTTTCTCCTTTTTTGTCTCTTCCCTGTTCTCTCACACACCACTGCTGACCTCCAGAACACTCCCCATAGCCTAGGGCATTTATACCTGCCCCACATCCAGTTAGGTGAGCTCCACCCTGTGCAGCTAGCCTGAAGCTAGGGAAAGCCTGGCCAACCTCCACCAGGGGATACACCACCCAACTTCTTACTGGGGAATTCCAGCTTGTGTAGCTGGGGGAGCTCCTATTTTTCCTCTGTTGTCCCACATAACTGAGGGAACTTCCTCTTGCCTACTTTAGTGCCTCACACTGCCTAAGGCAGCTTGGCCAACACTTGCCAACGTTCCAAGCTGGTGCAGGAATCTCTGCCTAACCTCTGTAGTGATCTACCTGGCCAGGGAAGTTCTGCCCACCATTCCCAGTGTTCTACAGCAAAGCAGGCAACCCACCAGCCTTCTGGGGCACTCCCCTTGAGAGTGAAGCCACAGGAGGATAAAGTGGTAGGCTAATTCCATAGTGAAATTAGCTGTAGGCAGTTCAAAGAAGCATTCCTACAAGTCTCCCAGAGAGAGCCAGTGATCTTCAACTCCCTGGAAAATGGCACTAGGCTCCTCTAAAACAACGAAAACAGCAATCAAACTCAATGACCTAAAAAAAAACAAAAAGGAGAAACAAAAGGCAATGGCAGAAGATGTCCTGAACCTAATGACATGCATAGAAGAAGCAGACATTGAGCTGCCACAGAAAGAAATTTCAAAAAAAAGAAAAAAAGAAAAGAAATTTCCAGAATCCTGCTTGGAGTCAAACAGGATATGAGGGAAACAATACAGAAAAAGGATGAAATGATAGAGGAGATAAAGTCCATGCACCAAAGGGAAACACAAGAGCTTAGGGAGGAGATAATAAAAACCAATACCAGATACACGGACCTTGAGAATTGAGTGGAGGAAGCAGATAACTGCACCAGTGACTTGGAGGACAGCCGAGCAGACTTTAACAAACGTGAACAAAAATCTAATAAGATCATCAGAGAAGCTGAAGAAAACCTAAGAGCTATTCTGATGCTATGAAGAGGAACAACATCAGAATAATTGGATTACCGCAGGAAGATACAACAATTGGGAGAGTTCTTAGAGGAAAACTTCCCCAGCTTAATGAATGAAAACCAGGCAACCATTCAGAAGGCTGAAAGAACACCAGCTAGACTGAATCCCAAGAAGAAGTCACCAAGGCACATAATAGTTAAACTATCCAACTTTGAGGAAAAGGAAAAAAATCATGAGATCGGCTAGGGAAAAACAAGCAATCACATATAAAGGTTCCCAAATAAGAATATGCTCAGACCTATCAGCAGAAACGATGAAAAGAGGGGAGAGTGGAGTAACATATTCCAAAAATTGAAGGAAAACAACGCAAACCCAAGAATACTCTACCCAGCCAAATTATCAATCAAGATAGATGAAGAGGTAAGAGTCTTCCCAGACAAGGAAAAGCTCAAAGAATAGGTTAGAAAAAACCCAGCCCTACAAAAGATCCCTGCTGATGCAGTGTGGGCAGAAGAATAACACTCACCAAGCATAAATAAGAGACCACCACATAGAGCAACCTAACCCAGAGGGCAACAAAGAGAAAACAGACCCCAAGATAGCATTGGCTTAAGGATGGAAAGAAGTCAAGAATGATACACACACACATGCACAACACACTAATGAGAAAGGAAAGTAGGAAAACACCCAACACTAAAGGTATAAGATGACATCACAAAGTCCGCAGATGGAGATAATAACCCTGAATATCAATGGCCTGAACTCAGGCATTAGAAGACGGAGACTAGCACACTGGCTTAGAAAACACAACCCATCAATCTGCTGCCTACAGGATACACATCTCAAGGCTACAGACAAAAAATATGCTGAGAATCAAAAGCTGGAGAAAGGCATATCAAGCAAACAACAATTCAAAAAAAGCAGGGGTTGCAATCCTAATCTCGGATAAAATTGACCTCAAAGTGCAAACCATAAAAAGGGATAAGGAGGGACACAATATAATGCTCAAGGGAACGGTAGACAAAGAACCACTAAGCATTGTAAACATATATTCCCCAAATGAGAGACCCACTGAATACATCAACCAAACACTCCAAAATATGAAAAAAGAAATCACAGCCTCAACAATTATAGTGAATGACTTCAATACACCGCTCTATGAGAAAGATAGATCACAGGGAAAGAAACTCAAC